GACATTGAAGGAAGAGAAGAGGGAGGAATTGTTTGAGAATTTGAAGGCTGATGAATCCATTGGGTGGGCTGTTGATGTCATAGATCCAAGGGAACTTTCGGCCAAAATGCTAAAGAAGTTAGTCCTGACATGGATACTTTTTCTTATGTCAATCGTAGGCCAGTGTTTTCTAATATGACTTCTTTGGTTTGTTTTGAGACAGACGTAAGATAAACCTTAATGAAATATCACATGACTCTGCAATGGGTCTGGTCACAAAGGTCCTAAACATGGGAGTTCTTCTAACCGAGGTAAACTCATTGTAGCTTAAGGAGATTACTGGTGGTATACAAGTGTTTTTATGTATATGCATGCCAGTCTCAGATCCCAAATACTTTTGAATTGATTTTACAATACATTATTGATGAACAAAAAAAGAAGACTGCATATTCTTGACTCTAAAATATAAAACTGTTAGTGAGATATAGTTTTCTGTTGTACGCTCCTGGATTATCTGCTGACGGTAAACTGTGTAATAGGATCTATCATTAGGTTAATCTAAAAGTAAATATATACGGAGAATATTAAATAAAACAAATAAACAATCAGTATGCAGTTTAGTAATTAGAATGAGACAATGAACAAGGTGAAGGCTTTTTTATTGGTAAGTTTTCCTTGTGCATCCTTGTGTATAAGTTACAATCCTGATTTAACAATTCAGTTTTCCCCAATCTTATCTAAACTTTTGTCTTCTATTTCTTTTTATATTTTTTTCTTCAATTCTTTATTACAAGCTTCTGAAGGGTTTATCCAAAACTTCCTCTCAATCAAGTAGTTCCTTGGAAATCAAGAGGCTTGACAGACTTGTCCTTTGGGAATTCAAAGCTAGTGTTGTTAGGTTATTCTTGAAAAGTTAGAAACCTAGAAAAGTGGTTGAAAATTTTAAGAATATATGTTTCAGGTTTATGTGGATACAGTGGGTGATGCTGAGAAGTATAGAGCTAAACTGTCTGATAGATTCCCAGCTGTCAAGTTTGTGGTTGCGAAGAAGGCTGATAGCCTATATCCTGTTGTCAGTGGAGCAAGCATAGTTGCAAAAGTAACTACCTTTACCTTGGGTAACTCTGCTGAAAGTCTCTGGCGAAGGTATTAATTTTAATTTTCATTCAATTATTCAGGTTACAAGAGACAGAGCGTTGCGTGAGTGGGTGCTCGAGGAAACAGCTGAAAACTTGCATAAAGACTTTGGTTCTGGATATCCTGGAGGTGAAATGTTTATGCTTTATTTATTTTAGTCTCTTTGTAAACATCATTTAATTACTGTACAATGAGCAATCTAGTTCCATTTTTACAGATCCGAATACAAAGGCATGGTTGGAACATCACAAGCACTTCGTTTTTGGATTCCCATCGTTGGTCCGTTTCAGCTGGGGTACATGCACTCCTTATTTCAAAGACATTGCGGAAGTCTTATGGTCAGTTCCCCTGAGTGTTCTTGACAAATTCATTTCCAAAATTATGTACTAGTTCATGTATGTGAATGTACCTGTTCATTTATAGACTTTTAAAATGTCAGTTGTATAAGTATGGAGTTGACATCGGTGATATTCCAGTGAAACCAAGCTCTGAACATACCTATGGTATAAAATCTGTATAGGTTGAAACCAGAATTTCGGATTTCTTGGTGGACATATTGGTAAAAATTAAAGAAGACAACAAAAATTTGCTTACATTAGGAATAAATGAAGTTCCTTGAAACAGTAACGGGATCAATTATGCATCAATAAACATGTAAACTTGCTGGTTCCCTTGTACATTGTTGGGTTTAAGTGATATTCAAATCTAAAAGGTCTTGGAGTCGAACTGGCTGCTATAATTGATATTAAAAAAGAAATATGTAAACTTTATAATTGATTTGTTTGTGCCTGTATCACTTGGTTGTTGTACAGCGAACTTTTATTCAAGCACGTATAAACGCACTTATGCACTTTCTATTTGATTTATGAACAACCTCCCAATCCTGGACATCTAAATAAAACAAGCAATCCTTGTAGATACAAATTGTCTGGTGAAGTTCTTGTGCATGCCAATTTAGATAGGATTTTGAAATTTTGAATATTTTTTCATAGGGAATCCGATGAAATGGATGAAGATGGTTCTAGCACTGCTAATGGCAAGCGGCAAATGAAACTAAGTAGTTTTGGTGTTACAACATCCAAGAGAAAGATTGAAGAAATTGAATCAAGTGGTAAAGGGCGCTGCAAATTTTTTCTTGCTCGTAAACTTGAGCAAGTTACTCAATTCTAAGTGAAAGGTTTGATGCTTTACTATTTGTGTTCTTGCTTCCCTCCACTTATCTGTCTTCCTTGATTCAAGTCAGAAAATCTTCCGAACTTTCATCGCTGTTATCATTAGTAAGAAATGCAAATGAAAAATTTAAACTGAATGAAGAGATTATTTATTTATTTTGAGTGAATGGTGACGAGAATTTGACTTAGTATGATGAAGTTTTTGTTTTTAACAAAATATCTGTATTGAGTCCATTGTATGGCAGTTTTGGAATTAACTTGCAGTGGTGCATTTGCCAAGAATTATTTAGTTCCGTGCACTTTGAAGACCATTTGGAAGTTGCCATCACGTAGCATACTTGTGTAAAATGTGCTATTGAAAGAAGCATTTCGAGTAATACTTGTATCTTGTCGTCTGCCTTAGATATCATTGACGCACAAGATGCGCATTCCTGAATTAATAACAGAGCGTTGTTTAGGCAATAATTCTTACCACAGTTTTCCCAACGCTTGTGGGAGTGTCAATCAAGAAGCCATATTACAGTTTCTGCACAATGCCAGCAAGAAATGCCACAAATTCGATTTAGTATTGGAAAGCTGTACATAGATGGACAAGAGATGTCCAGGTGGATGCAAACAAGGTGGGTGGTCCAATGCATTACTTCTTGCTGTTGGCGGCACCATAGTGGCTGTTATGGTGGCGATTACTCGCTCAACTTGCTGTGTTACAGGTATAAACGTAGATCCTTAGTGTGTATGAAGATCTGGACCTGCCGTTATTTCCATTCTCCTCAAAACCAATCGATCCACCAGCATTTGCATTTCCATGATTGCATCCATGTTCGAATTTGCTGCTGAGTGCTATTCTGCTACTGAAACTTGTCCAACAAAATAGACAAGTGAGTCTTAGTTATTTGGTATGGTATAAGTCATAGAATCTTCGATGCCTAAGATTTAGAGGATGAATGAGAATTCATAATTGTTTCGTGCCTTAGGAACAGTTACCTCTCAAGGTGAGCTTTTTGGGTGAGTTATGTGAATTGTTATCCCTCCTGTTAGGTGAATTGTAGTGGGTTTTAACTTTCAAGTCACCTATGAAGCTATGAATTCCAATGTATTAAAAGGTGAAGGCGTATGCGAGGTGTTCCATGGATAGCCCCGCCTAAGCATGGGGCGAAGCCTTACCAGACCTTAAATAATAAAGGACTGCTGAGAAAAATAGGGAAAATAGGAGACTCTTGTGGGTTTTAAAAATAAAAGAAAAACAAACTTGGCCAAAACGACGTCGTTTTGGGCTAAGTCGTTTAAAAAATTTAAAGAATTCCTCTTCTTCTTCACCGTCGTCTTCCTCGTGTAGACACTGCACACCCCTCAACCCTAAATAGAGCCATCGACTTCGATTACCTAGATAACAGAGCCATTCAACTTCGATTTCGGGTCGCTGATAGATTTAGGAACGCCTGCCAACCATCTTCAAGCTTGCCTTAGTCGCCTAGGCTTGCCTCGACCACGCCTGGGCAAGTTTTCGCCTACTCCAATTGGGCAAAGGCATTATCACCCCTGTCCTGCTCCAAAGTTGTCTAGGCGAGCCTCGGGGGGCGTCTTTTAAAACACTGATGAATTCACAACTTGACCCATTTTTGCCAAGTAAAACTTAGAATTTAACTTGGCTAAAAGGGATCGATCTAGGAATTTAGCACTTCAAAGATAAGGATAAGTGAAAACCAATTTCAATATTTGTCCACGACATTAAATAATTAATGACGTCATCACTTCTTTTGTGTTTTTTTTTTTTTTTTTGTTAATGGGTCACTTAACGTTGGTGATCTAATAGATATTCAATTTTTAAAATGTTGAGGCCAACTTAAAATTATCCTAAACTACAAAAAAAAAAAAAAAAAAAAAAAACCCTTAAAACTATTCTAAAATGTTGGGTAATTAAACTTAACCCCATTTTTTAAGGGAAAAAAAAATAAAAGAGCCTCACAAATTTTTTATAAGGTAAAAACATTTGATGAACTTTTATTAATAATAATAAGGACAAAAAAGAAAGAGGTGGTGACATTTTCTTTAGTTGAATTTTGGTGGCATTTTTTTATATACGAGTAGGTCAACTGTTTATACATGATACGGTGACACGTTATGTATAAACAATTGACTTGTGTATAAATAATTAACCTAATTATTTATAAACTGTCATGCCAGGAAATTTCAACTTATTTATGAAAGTGTCACCGCCTCCCAAACTTCAATTTATTTACGAAAATGCTACCGTCATTTTTTTTCCTTATTACTAATCAATTTTCATCCAAGTATTTTAATTTTTTTTTATCATAAGGGATTTTCATTAAAGCTCATTTTTATAAAAACAACAATACATTTACATTAAGAGCGAAAGATTTAGTCTAAAAGCCACAATGAGTGACACATGATAAATTGATATGTAACCTGCAGTCCATGGGATTCTCACTTACCTCTCACTTACGGACCATAATACCACCGGGTGGCAACTTTCATCTGCATTCACACCACTTAGTACTACAGTCTAATAATATTTCTTTTTACTTGTAAATGAGAGATCTTAGGTTCGATTCTCGCCAAAAGCGAATTTGAATGACCTTATTGCTAGCATATTATGAGACTTAGCCCACTTCCCTCTCTAGTATAGATAATATCGTGTTAAAAATAAAAAATAAAAAAATAAAAAGCTTTGTACACAATCCAGCAGCCCAGCCAACCCAAAAACCTGAAAAGAAGAAACAGAAACTTTACAATAAGCTGGCAAGCAAGCTGAATCTGCTGCCGAATTTGTCTAATCAAATTCATCAAATATGCAATGAAACAATTTTTATTTCCAAAATATTGCAAATTTGGTCCAACTACTGCCGGAAGTTGCAAACGTTTCTTACGTTTTTCTTCTTCTTCTTCTTCATTGCCTTCCCACCCAAGGCACTTGGCCTCTCTCTTGCTCAAAAACCCAGCAAGCCACTCAGCCACCCAGCAAATCCACTCTCACATTCTCTCCTCCGGCTTATTCCTTTGTCACAATTTCACCTCCGCTTTTCTCCTCCTCATCAATACTCTCCTCCGCTGCTATTCCTCCGGCGACTTCCCTCACGAAGCTTTCGCCTTCTACAGACATGTCCGGCAGTATTCTCATTCTTTTGACTCCTTCACTTACTTCTTCCTTCTCCACGCCTCCATTGCCTTAAACTCCGTAATCCCAGGTGCCCAAATCCACGCCCTGACTCACAAACTAGGTTTTCATTTCCATGTCTATGTCCAAACTGCCTTGGTTAATATGTACGTTGCTTGTGGCTCTTTGGTACTTGCTCTCAATGTGTTTGATGAAATGCCGCACAGGAATTCTGTCACCTGGAATGTCATGATAACTGGTTTGGCCAAATGGGGTGAGCTTAAATTAGCTCGGTCTATGTTTGATCAGATGCCTGAGCCTACGGTTGTGTCCTGTACTGCTATTATTGATGTGTACTCACGGATGAATCAGCCCCAGGAGGCTGTGGCTTTGTTTCGGAGAATGGTTGTTGAAGATCTTATTGTACCCACTGGAATTACGCTTCTGGCCATATTCCCAGCGGTTTCTGTTCTTGGGGATCTTAAGATTTGCCAATCACTTCATGCTTATGGTGAGAAGAAAGGGTTTAATGCATCTGACATACGTGTTGCAAATTCCCTTTTGGACTCCTATGCAAAGTGCGGCTGTATAGAGAGTGCATCAAGATTTTTTGAGGAGATACCTGCCCAAAGGAAGAATTTGGTGTCATGGACGTCCATAATCTCCGGTTTTGCAATGCACGGAATGGGGAAAGAAGCTGTCGAGAATTTTGTAAGTATGGAGAAAGTTGGTTTCAAACCAAATCGAGTGACATTCTTGAGTATTTTCAATGCTTGCAGTCATGGAGGATTAATAGATGAGGGGCTGAACTTCTTTGGGAAGATGATCGACGAGTATGAAATTGCAGTGGATATCAAACACTATGGATGTTTAATAGATATGCTAGGGAGGGCAGGAAGATTAGAAGAAGCAGAAAAAATGGCTTTGGAGATTCCTTGCAATATTGTTAATGTTGTGATTTGGAGGACGCTTTTGGGTGCTTGTAGCTTTCACGGTAATGTGGAGATGGGCGAGAGGGTGACGAAGAAGGTACTGGAGATGGAGAGAGGATATGGAGGGGACTACGTGCTTATGTCCAACATCTTAGCTGGTGTTGGAAGGTATAGTGATGCCGAGAGAATGAGAAGCTTGCTAGATGAGAGGAACGCCTTCAAACTTCCAGGGCATAGTTTGGTCTAACTGGTGTTGAAGATGCACAACCAGGGTTGAGAGAGATTATAATGCTATGATAGCTCCTGCCACTGTTTGTGCTTCCTCGGAGATATCTTGTTTATATGGAGCTCCTGCCGCTGCCCGTGGTCTTTCCTTCCACTCTCGTTTCAAAATAGCCAGCCATACTTTCCATCGAACACTACAATATAGGGCTACCTGTGAGATGGTGGGTATTATTAATGTCTCATTTTCCCTCCCCGACTTCAAATTCTAACAAAATCAAAGAAATATCATATTTGTTTATTATTACTAAACCATGATGCCTCAAACTCCACTCTCTAGAAAGGGCACTTTTGAAGACATTGTAGGTAATATGAACTAATGAAAGGGTGATGTCAAGGAGATCACATTTTGTAAGCCACATTTGAACCATCTCTTTAATAGAGAGAGTTTGATAGTCGGTCCCACCGCTATTAGAGAGGTGACTTACATGTGGTTTACAAAATGTGATCTCCCTGGAATTTTCCGTGATGAAAAAATGGCCTGCCAAATAGATGCTCAATACCAAAGTTGATATGACTGACCAAATCATCATTCATATAAAACGTCATATTAGGAGTTCATCATATGTCATCCCTAGTTTAAGCCCATTGTTCTCGTGTTGAGTCAGGTTAGCCTGACGTGTTGTATTTAAGATTTAAATTTATATTGTAGCTGATCATGTACGTGTTTTTTGGTTTGTACAAGTTGGTGATGTATTGTTCTCGTGTTTAGTCAGACCAGCCTGACGTGTTGTACCTAAGATTTAAATTTATATCGTAGCTGATCATATACATGTTTTTTGGTTCGTACAAGTTGGTGATGTATCATAAGCAAGTAGGTTGTTGTACCAAGTTGTTTTTCTTTTCATGTTCATATTTATAAAGATACAAAAATTGAATGGTTATCGTTCCCAAAGGGTGTGTAAGTATGAGAAAGAAAGAGGGAGGTGTGCAGAAGCGGCAGAGGTGGAGGAGAGAAAGGGACGTCTGTGTGGGAGTGATTAGCTTTGATCATGCCGCCCACAACTCTTTTAGAGAGGTGGGCGTGCCTGGTTAGGTCCCGAGTTCGAAGTTTGTCGAGTCAAATAGGGTGACTCGTCGGGAACGCACTCTCTAGAGAGAAAATGTTACTATAGACACTTAAGAGTAAACTAGATAGCAAGTTAGCAACACAGGCCAAAAGTGTGAGTATTATTGGACCCCATCATAGTCTGCAACATCTTGCTCTGAAAAGAGCTAATTAATCAACTAATCAACAGAGATATACTCAATAACTAAAGTGAATCAGAAGAAAGCACAAACATATTTTGTTGAGAAAGTCAATGATTCTTTATGATACTTTCCCTCATTAGCCTTCAATCAACGTTGATAAGGGACTTGTACCAATTAGCTATGTAGTAGGGATCCTTGTAATTATATATACCTGTATTCTTGTACAATCAAAGTCATTGCATTTGAAGTAAATTTCAGAACTTCCAATAAGCTAAATTTAAGATATTTGCTACCGAAGCCAAAAAAAAAAAAAAACCTCTAAAGTGATCACATTGGGTCGGGCCAGCCCTACGTGTATCTAAAATGTAAATAGTTTTTGCAAAGATTGTCTATCGTGCTTGCATTTTGCAAAGATTGTCTATCATGCTTGCATTCGTTAATACGTGTTTAATTGTATTGCTTTGTTTAAGAGAGAGAGAGAGAGAGAGAGAGAGAGAGAGAGAGGTGTGCAGAAGTCGCATAGGTGGGCAAGGGGAAGATAGAAAGGGATGTGCATGGGAGTGACTAACTTATTGGAGTTGGTTGAATGTATTTTCAGAAATAACTTGATCCCTTTTTTGTATGGCCCGCATAGAACTATGCTATTGAAGTGAGTAAAACTAAAGCAACCGTAATATTTATATCATTTGTGGGTACGGCTAACTTCTCATGAGGTAACTGCATGATTTTCCAAGGTAAAAGAGCTCCTTGACCAATTCGAAACAAAAATAAATAGAAACATAGTTCCAATAAAAGGAACCCATGGACCATATTCTTCTCCAATCTGAGTTTTGCTCACGTTACGAATGAATTCAAGGACATATTCAAAGTGTTCATGCCGCCCACAACACTTTTAGATAGGCGGGCATGTCGCTAGATTCCGAGCTCGGAACGCGTCGAGTCGGGAAGGGTGACTCGTCGGAAATGTTCTCTAGGAGAAAACGTTACCGTAGACAGCAACAAAGGCCAAAAGTATGTGAGTATTAAAGGACCCGATCGTAGTTAAACATCTTGCTCTTAAAAGAGCTAATTAATCAACTAATCAACTAATCAACAAAGAGATATACTCAATAACTAAAGTGAATCACCTTCAGATTCAAAAATAAAGCGTAAACATACTTACAATCGAAGAAAAAAGCTTCTAAAGTTATGGCATTAGGTCGGGCCAGCCCAACGTGTTGTACTTAAAAATTAAATTTGTAACTTTTGAAGGAATTGTCTATCGTGCTTGCATTTGTTAACCGTGTTTATTTATTGCAGTTGTATGAAACAATTCCTTGGTTCATTTCATATTGCATTTACACGAGATATTTAAGTAGAATAATCTCAAATTTATTTAGATGAAGCTGAAATTTGTGCGATACATGTGGTTGATGATTAGGTTTTGATTGGTTGAAATCATCTTTTAAAATGTAAAAATTATTTTTTAATTCACTTGGCACCATGTGATTGGTGTTGCGGAATCTCACCCATGTACCACATTAGCGTACTAACAGAACTTTAACGGATTTGGACAGAATGACCAAACTGATGTGTTGGACCAAACTTTTTTCTAAAACATGAAGGATCATTTGTGAAAAATAAAAATAAAACAAAAAAAAAACCCTAAATTGTTTTTTCTAAAGATGCTTTAACTAGAAACATTGAATTTTTATTACATTACTTTCTTAAAAAGCACTAGAAGTGCTTCCTAAAGATGAAACATGGGTACTTATTTCTCCATAAAGCACTTCTATGAAGCACTCTTGGCTTTCCAAAAACAGCCCCAGTTAACCCATAACAAACAACTCACTCAAGACCACTAAATAAATTAGACAGTAAACAAAAGAAAGGTTAATAAGACAACTACTATCTCCTCAAAAGTAGCTGATTAAACAAAACCAGCGGTTAAGAGAGGTTAATTACATGGCAGACGAAGTTGTTGAGTATTCGATGCTGCAAAAGTTCACATATACAAGAACAATCAACATTTTGTACACCAACTGGACAACATATGGCTAATAATTGACGATTCCATGTTGCTTATCACCTTAACATTTGAAACCTCCGCAGGCAATAAGCCATAGTACGATGATCAGGATAAGGACTCCACCTCCAATCATTAGCTTCATTTGGAGACTCTGCAGCCACATCTTACGTCGCAATTGCCTGCCTTGCCTCTGGAAGCTGTCAGCCTGAATTCAATACAAACATCCCCAATAGCATGTCAACTAAAATTACCTTGTGAGTTCAAATCCGGTTTTAGATTATACAACCAGATTAGGTAAGTGATGGCATGTACCTGGAACTGCAGATTTTCTGTTTTATCAACCAAAAGTTCAATTCTCTCCCCACGATCCAAAACCTGCCACCAAGAGATGGGATTTATCCAATCAACTCAAAATGAACAAAAGTAGCCATTCATGGCTGACTCGCAAATATAAGAAGGTAAAAAAAAAAGGGGTGTGATATCCACACACTCTATTTTACTTCTCACACACCTTTTTAATTTTCGGCCGTCAGATCGGATGAATTGAAGAAGATCAATGGACAGAAATTATCAAGGAGTGTGTGAGAAGTAAAATTGGGTGTGTGGATAGCACACCCCAAAAAAAACAGGTACTTATTTTCTTTCTACAGAAGCACCAAGGGAAGAAAACCCTCCAATTAGATTTGATTTATAACATTAAGGTATTTGAACGGTAGTGATATTAAAACAACAGACAACAAATATTTCTATCTGTCTTCCCACTCCGTTGTCAGCATTTCGGCATAATTTTAGTTCAGGTGGTCAAGTACAACCCAAACTAGTATGATTCTACTGATTACAAGACTGGTGTTTCTTGCTAGAATGGATTTACAAAAATCCCATACGCAATTCAAGGAAGCCCTTAAATCCCATACGCACATTGAAGAGCAATAGTTATCAGACTCAAACAGACAATTATCAAATTTCTAGCAAAACATGGTTGTAAGATCAGAAGCAATTCAAACCACTGATATCCCCCATTTTACCGTACCCGACTCCCCAAGACCTATATAACTCCACCTGGCCATAAATCTTTATTCCTTGGTGCATGGAGATGAATCTTAGATCATGACCACCCAAAAATAGCACTAGCTATACCCACATGTTTTCTATATTAACCAAGTTTGCATGACTATGGAAAATCCACCCAAGCTGATTGTTCTTCCTCACCCCACAAATGTCTACATTCTCTTTTATATCCTCGTTTGACAATAAAAAACAGACTTAATTTATGCACGATATGTTCTAAAGAATTCCTACCCTTTCTTATAATCGAATTGGAAGAAAAGTCCTTAGATTTTCTTTATTCAACAGAGGAAATGGGAGAAAGGAGAACCCTTCATCCCAGTAAAAATCTGAAGGTAGCACTGCAGTTAAATAGCTATCCCTCTTGTTACCAGAGCAGTGGTGATGATGAAGAACACAAGTCTAATAGGTATAAGACTTTATAATTTACATCTTTGTACTTCTTTGGAGCAGATTCAATGATTGAATAAAATTTCCAGAGCTTTGCTTCTCTCTTGGTTTGTGTGATGCAACCTAACCCTGGGTGTGATGCCTAAGGCCTCTACAGGTGATTCGTTTTATAAATCTTTGGATGAGTTTTCGTTCTAGAGTCATACTTTCATAAAGACTCATCTAGAACAGATAGCCAGCCTTGCCTTTTGAAAACTAAGGCTTTCCTGCATCAGGTGGAACTACCAAAATTAATGGTATGACTTAAGCTGCTCCAGCTCTCAAGTCACTCTCCCCAAAGAAATGTAGTAAATAAAAACCAACATGTTCTTACAAAAAAATCCACAAAACAAGAGATGGTGATGCAATTCTCAGTGGAAGTCAATTCAATCATCACATACTTCTAAAAATTGATGCAATTTATCCAAAAGGAAGAGAATGCAAGCTCCGATGCAAGTCCATTGTTCAATCTTTGATGCATACACAAACTTAACTGAAACTAGAAGAAGATGGGGAGTTCAATAGAAAGCTGAAAAGAAAAATAGACAAAATCAATGTCTAAGATTATCTCATGGGCAACCCCTCCAAATTATAAAGTGGAAGCCCAACATACGTTTAAAACAAAAAACTCATAAATACTCCATTTCAAAACAGCCAAACCCCTAATGGCAAAGTATTGTCAGCAGGTTACCCTCAGAAAAATGATCACTAAAGTAACGAGTACTAAGGCATCAGGTCAAATTCTATGACAAAGGGCTGTAACTTGTGCTGAAAACACACCATTCTATGCATAAAATAACCATATCTTCATAAAGTTCCTCAGCCACGAGTATATTATATTTTACCTTCTCAATATTGTCCATCATCACACCTTTGACCTCCGTGATTTGGGCCTTCAATTTGGAAAGCTTACTTATTTCTTCTGGATGCTCCATGCAATATTGCATGTGCTCCTTAAGCCTTGGCCTGTCAAAGAAAAACCCAATATTTAGTTGCCATACTAAATTACATAGAAGATTAACATTTAAACACCAAAAGGCAAATACACACCCAAATTCTCTGTCAAGATTGTATGCAATGCTAAAACGATCTTCAAATAAGTCATCGTCTTCGTCACCATCAGCAAGAGGATGTGACCCTGCATTCTTAATATCTGGACCATACCGATGCTTGAAATCCTCTTTCACTCGTTCAAGGAACACAAACGGTACAGTCCTCCCGGCAGATTCATCAGCAACAACAAGAAACACTGCAAACCCATTTAGCCGGTTAAACCGTACATTCCACAAGTAAATCTCAAACAAAATTGCTGGAACTTAAGAAAGAATCCGTACCAAATCCACTGTCAAGTAGGAAGTTAAAAGTGTGGCCGTCACACGAGTAGGTGTACTTGCTGTTACTGGAAGGTAGCTTCTGTAAGCACTGAACAGCAAGAGTACTAAAGTTTCCGGAGAAGGACGTGTGTTCTGCTAAAACAACACTTCCTTTTGCAACAAAGCTATATATTAATCCTCTGTGACTCATATCCGATTTATCACTCCAATCGCGCGAAGATACCTAAATGCAGTGTTACCCTAGAGAAATTTGACAAGTAAGAAAAAGAAATATCAAAATACGCAAAACGAAAATTCCGTATTATACTTCAGTTGGATGGGTTTTCAATGTGCTTGAAACCCACCATCGTCACTTAACCAATCGTAATCCTTCAATTTTCTCGGCAACCAAACAGAAAAGGAAAAAAGGTCCCAAAGAAATGGGGATTATACTTGATTTGCAAATCTTAAAAAAATTAAATTGAATTACATCTTGATCCGCAAATAACACCGACAAATAGGGAAGAAGGAGGAACTTACTTGTCAGATCAATGGATGCCGATCTACGCAATCCAAGAGAGAGAGAGTGTGTGTGTGTGTGATGGATTTAAGGGGAAGTTGCTTTGTCGGGAAGTTGAAGACCTGGAAATAGAATATTGGCAAAATCGGAAGTCAGTTGGGCGTATTCTTTCTGTACTGAATAAATAAGGGCGACGTGGTGCACGGAAAAGGATCCTCGGTTCCCTAGGATTCTAGGATACCGTCAACATAATCGTTTATCGTATATCGAACGGTCAGTTTTCGTTAAATACTATTTATATTTAATTTTTAAATTTTAAATTTTGAAATAATTTCTAACCGCACGATATATTATAAACATAGTGCACGTCTCTTCTTGCTAAATTGGTTTTACTCAACTAAGTCTAGAAGTGTTAAGCTCTTACATGACAGCGTAAATTCAAACTCCGTCGATGGTTAACCTAACATTTTATCTAATAAAATCTATCGTTTGACAAAAAAAAAAAAAATTAGATCACCACCACGTCTATTCCATCAAAAGATTAAACTCCCATTTTATTTTTACCCCTTAAATGACTTAACAATAAAATTGACGGTTTAACGAATGAAATATAAAAATCATGTAGTGTAAAATGCAAAAATTTAAACCTCGCGGCTCATTTTGCAAATTATTCCAAACCTTATTGCGTAAAATGTAGTTAACCCTTCATTTTAATTTCTACAAAAATCATAATCATGACGACACGTGCTTGGACGCTATTGTTGCTTGTTAACTCAGGGTCTGTTTGCTATCCATTTTAGTTTTAACTTCAGTTTTTTTTTTTTTTTTATAACTAACGAAATGAAGACAACTCCGCCTGTGTAAGTTTATCTTACATTACTGGTCCCAAGCCCCGATAAAGGAGGAGGGGGAGGGCGTCAGGTAGTCGACAGCCGCCACTCCTAGGTTACGTCGAATCCTTATGAAAATGAATCCAGAACAAAATCGCTCTAAAGCTAGGGCGTCACCCGTAAGTGGTGCGGTGTGTGGCCCGAGCACAGTGATAAGTGAGCAAGGGTCGCTGTATCTCCATCGGCACCCAGATGCAGTGTTAAATGAGCAAGGGGGCCATAGAAACTTCTTTTCGAACGACTCCACTCAAAGTTTTTTAGGAGCTTATGCTCCTATCAACTTTACACAGGACACACAAAAGAAGTATTTTGATCTTATTAGACGGGGGAGGTTGAAGAAGCTAGGACAGAAGGGTAGAGTTCAAGAGAGTAGAATGCGTTTAGGAACGTGGAATATAGGAACCCTAACGGGAAAATCTATAGAAATAGTGGAAGTTATGGTGAGGAGAATGATAAATATTATGTGCCTACAAGAAACTAAGTGGGTTGGTCTTAAGGCAAAGGATCTAGAAAACTCAATGTTTAAACTCTAGTATTCGGGCACAAATAGAACGAGAAACGGTGTTGGCATCATTGTGGACAAGACCTTGACACAAGATGTAGATGTCAAGAAGGTAGGAGATAGAATCATGGCAATCAAGATTGTAATAGGACAAGAACTCATCAATGTGATTAGTGCGTACGCACCTCAAGTCTGGTTGGATACGAGTTCGAAGGAGAAATTTTGGGAATACCTTGGAGACTTGGTGCAAGGAATTGCTCAGACGGAGAAGTTATTTATATGAAGAGATTTAAATGGACACGTGGGCAAAGAGACAGGCAACTATGGAGGTTTTCATGGTGGCCATGGTTTTGGGGAGAGAAACGAGAATGGGGAAGCTATCTTGGATTTTGCAATGGCATATGATCTCTTCTTAGCCAACACCTTCTTTAAGAAGAGAGAAGAACATGTGATCACCTACAAGAGTGAGTCGTCAAAAACACAAATAGATTTTCTTCTAATGAGGAAAGGGGATTGTATAACTTGTAAGGATTGCAAAGTTATACCGGGAGAGAGCTTGGCTAATCAACATCGCTTGTTGGTGATAGATGTACATATCAAAAGAGTGAGAAAAAAGAACAAGACTTGGAAGTGCCCAAGGACTAGATGGTGGAATCTAAAAGGAGAAAAACAAGCCATTTTCAAAGAGAAAGTAATCACCCAGTGTGTGTGGGATAGAAAGGGTGAAGCTAGCCAAAGGTGGGATTCCATGGCTAGTTGTATCCGAAAAGTAGCAAAAGAGGTATTAGGAAAGTCCAAAGGCTTTGCTCCACACCAAAGGGAATCTTGGTGGTGGAATGAGGAAATACAAACATAGGTGAAGGCTAAGAAGGAATGTTGTAAAGCTTTATACAAGGATAGGACCGATGAAAATGGTGAAAGGTATAGAAGAGCGACGCAAGAGGTGAAGAAAGTTGTGAGAGAAGCTAAGTTAGTGGCTTATGACGATATGTATGAGCGACTAGATACCAAAGAATGAGAGTTTGATATTTATAAACGAGCTAGAGCAAGGGAAAAGAAGACAAGAGACCTAAACCAAGTGAAGTGCATCAAGGATGAGGATGGAAAAGTTCTTGCTACAGAGAACGCGGTCAAAGACAGATGGATAGGTTATTTTCATAATCTTTTCAATGAAGGACATGAAAAGAGCACTTCTTTAGGGGAGTTAAGTAACTCAGAAGAGTGTAGAAACTACTCATTTTATCGTCGAATCAGGAAGGAAGAAGTGGTTGTAGCTTCGAAGAAGATGAATCATAGAAAAGCAGTGGGCCCAAATGATATACCGATCGAATTGTGGAAAGTCTTGGGAGAGACAGGTATAGCATGGCTCACTAACCTTTTCAATAGGATTTTGAAAACGAAGAAGATGCCAAATGAGTGGCGAAAGAGCACTTTGGTGCCTATCTACAAGAATAAGGGCGACGTACAAAATTGCATGAACTATAGGGGTATTAAGCTAATGAGTCATACAATGAAGCTCTGGGAGAGAGTCATTGAGTATAGATTGAGGCAAGAGACACGGGTTTCAGACAACCAATTCGGGTTCATGCCAGGGCGCTCAACCATGGAGACAATCTATCTCTTACGAAGATTGATGGAAAAATATAGAGAGGGGAAAAAGGATTTACACATGATCTTTATAGATTTGGAAAAAGCGTATGATAGGGTCCCAAGAGACATTCTTTGAAGGATTTTGGAGAAGAAAGGAGTACGAGTAGCATATATCCAAGCTATAAAGGATATAACAAGACATATTCAAGATGATATTCCTTGGTGTATGCTTTTCGCAGACGATATAGTGTTGATAGATGAAACTCAAGAATGGGTAAATGTGAAGCTTAACCTTTGGAGAGAAGTGTTGGAATCTAAAGGTCTTCGCCTAAGCCGATCAAAGACAGAATATATGGAGTGCAAGTTCAGTGCAAATGGAGGCCAAAATGAGTTAGGCGTGAGGATCGGAGATCAGGAAATACCAAAGAGCGACTGCTTTCGCTACCTAGGATCTATCTTGCAAAAGAATGGAGAATTAGATGGAGATCTCAACCATAGAATACAAGCTGGATGGATGAAGTGGAAAAGTGCATCCGGCGTGTTGTGTGACCGCCGTATGCCACTGAAGCTCAAAGGAAAATTTTATAGGACGGCAATAAGGCTGATGATGCTGTATGGCACAGAATGTTGGGCGGTGAAGCATCAACACGTACACAAAATGGGTGTAGCAAAGATGAGGATGCTTCGTTGGATGTGTGGGCACACGAAAAAGAATAAGATTAGGAATGAGGATATTCGAGGTAAAGTAGGAGTAGCCGAAATTGTAGGAAAGCTGAGAGAAAATCGGTTACGGTGGTTTGGACATGTGCAAAGAAAGCCTACTGACGCTCCGGTTAGAAGATGCAACTACATGATAGAGGTTCAGGGCCGAATGGGTAGAGGAAGACCTAGGAAAACTTTGGAAGAGACTCTAAGAAAAGACTTAGAGTACTTGGATCTAACGGAGGACATGACACAGGACCGAGCACAATGGCATTCTAAGATTCATATCGCCGACCCCACTCAATGACTTGGATTTTTCAAGTCTCCAACCAAGAAGTTTTCCTCACTCGAGAAATTAAGGGAACACTACCTCAACCTACATGTTTCACTCACAAAGCTTCAACATACAAGCTTCAACAAAAGAAAAATTCAAAGAACTTAGTGAAGAAGGCTTTGGTGTATTTAACACAATACGTTGAAATGAAGCAAAGCTTATTTACTGATATCTTCGATAAGTTACAAATATGTACATATACATGAGTCAAAATAAACAAACAATAGAAGCCTTCACAATGGTTGCTTAAGAGAAGTCTCAGCAGTCGGTAGAGTCCCAGAAAGAGAAGGCACCGGAGGGTGATCACTCGGAACCTCAGTACTGGACAGAACCCTAGAAGGAAGAGGCATCGGAGGCTGATCATTTGGAGCTTCACTACGCGGTACAGCCCCAGAAGACGAAGACAATAAATGCCTTTGGAACAAACCTATAAACCTCTGATGATCAAGTAAAATCTGACCATCAGATTCCTTCATCTGGTCAAGCTTCCTCTTCATGTTTGTAGCAAAGTCATGTGCGAGCCTGTGCAACTGTTTATTCTCATGTTTGAGCCCTCTAATCTCCTGCTTGAGACTCATCACTTCAGCCGCCAATGATTCAACTTGGTGGGTTCGAGCAAATAGGCGTTGGGCCATATTCGACACAGAACCTACACACTGAACACTGAGAACCAGATAATCTTTAACAGCCAACTCATCAGACCGTTTGGAAAGAAGTCTGTTATCTTTGGGAGTGAGAAGGTTCCTAGCCACCACCGCAGCGTTCATATCATTCTTCATCACGGAATCCCCAACGGTAAGAGGACCAGTAGGGGATAAGAAGGATGGGCGCCATATGTTGTCTGGAGAAAGCGCGGCTGCCTCTTCACCAAGGTTCAAGTCAAAACGACGGTCGGAAGGGCCATACATTTTCAAAGGTGTTGAAGAGAAGAGGTCAGACAAATCAAGATCTTAGAAGTGCAAGAAGGGAGCTTCTACTGGTGGAGATTCAAGTGTGCTTTGGAACTTAATGCCAGCCTCTATAAAAATCTGCACTCGACAGAGCTTCAGAAATCGAAGAGGCGCCTGCTCAGAAATCGAAGAGGCGTTTGCTTTCTTAAAAGCTGGACTGCTCAGAGACCACGAGGGCCAATCTCAGAGATCGAAGAGGCGTTTGCTTTCTCAAAAGCTAG